AATGAAATTTTATATCATCTTTGTCATTTAATCACATCTATTAATCAGTATTTTACATTCATAAATTATAACAATAATGACTGGGTTCGAAATTCATTCATAAAAGACAAACCAGACAATTTTTTTGATGTAGATTTTGAGAATCTGATCACTATATCTTCTGACAGTCAACTAAGCCAAAAATAAAGAAGTTTCTCTTATTGCTTTTTGGGGTGATTTACGCGAAGAATATCTAGAATTGTCCAAGCAGGCAATCAAAGTTCTGTTGTCATTCGCCAGCAAAGGGTTCCAAGGGAAAAATTAATTGGGAAATCCTGATCTAGACCAATAAGCTAATTCCTGGCATTGGTAGCACTATAGATGTGTACGTGGTTGTGGTGACAGTTCGGGCACCTAACCCTACCACTAAACCTACCCCTAACCCTACCCCTACCTGATAACCCAACCCCTACCCCTAAACCTACACCTAACCCTACCCATAACCCTACCCATAGCACCTACCCTTTGCCTATCCATACCTTAACCCTACCCTAACCCTACCCCTACCTCATAAACCTATCCCTAACCCTACCCCTTACCCTTTCTAACCCTACCCTTATCCCTAATCCTTCCCCTACCCCTAATTCTAATCCTAACCCTACCCCTAACCCTTCCCTTACCCCTTATCCTAACCCTAACCCTGTAATCGACTTGTGGATCACAAATCCATGAATCTCAAAAATAGTAAAAAATGAGCAAATAAGGTCATATTTTCCAAATTCTCAAAATGTTCTATTCATTTACACTGTGGTATGCATCATCACTTAAAAAATATATATGTTTCAAATAGTAGAGTTATGAATAGAGTTCACATAGTTTTAAGATTACACAATCTTAAATGAAGTGATACTGGCAATCAAAATGAAAGTATTGAAAAGATCGGGCATATTCAGAGTAGTATTTTGCTTTTCATCATATGGAAACAATATTTTTACATGGAAACAGCAATTTTCATTGTCTACAATATTGACAGTGATACGTCACATGTACCCAAGCCACAATCATTCACCAAATTATTGTCCACAGTTATCTTACATATGGTTTAAATGTACAACATTCTATTAGATTTGCTCTTTCAGGTGCACTTATTTATGTAGATGTCAATATATTCTCACTGGTAGAAAACATTCTAAATATAGTGAAAGATTGGATTATACAGCCGTCTAGTTTCAAGATGCACTTACATACTGTACTGTGCTGAAATTAAACTGAGATGGTTTAATCTTATTTCATTTGCTGATTATATCAGTGAGCCTTTTAAAGCAGATAAAAAAGAATCCAAGACAGATAAATGTGAGCCAGCTACAATAAGTGAAACCCAAGTATTGGGGAATCATTATATGTCATTGTCTGCAGACAACAGCTCTGTAATGATGCATGAAGGTATAATAATACTAATTACATTATAGGCAAACCTGAAATAGAATCATCAAGTTAGTAATATAAATACATTTTTAAAATTTTCTTTGAATATGATTCATTTAGCCTAGAGTAATGCGTAAAGCACAAACTGTACCTAGTGCTGATGTACAAGTTAAACATATACACATGCAAACGAATTGTTGACAGATTTGGAGAGGTTGTAGGAAGTCTTGATGGAGGATGATACAAGGGAACAAACTGTTTCTGAAAGTCATTGTGCTAGAAGAAGAGAGCATGTTAGAAGAATCAGTCAAGGCAAGACAAAACATCATCCCTCCAACTTTGATCCAACTTAGAGGGATTCTACATAGGCCATAACCACTACAATGTACTAATTGGTTATTGATTATTTTGATAGGAAATGGTCTCTGAAAATATATTTATTAAATTTTTTTATATTTTATATAAATGTCTAGCACTCACACTCTACCACCCTCCCCGTTGACAACATTTGGAAAGGCATCAGAATCCTCAAAAGTAAAGGAGAAAGACTTTTAATTGCATTAGTGTATCCTTCCCTGTATATTTCAAGTATTTATATGGGGAAAGCATTAATTACCAGCTAATGCAGTTAAGGGCAGCCTCAATCATCTACAGCTTCTACTTATAATATAGAAATACTTGAATGTGCACTTCATTCTTTGTCAAAGTGAAGCTTAGGTGTAACTGATTAGATAGTGAATTTTAGGAGATTTTTTTTTAAAGAAAACTAAGGAAATTTGAGGGATTTAAAAGGAATATGTGTAAAGACAATTTATAAGCTATGAAATTATGACATATGACAGTAATATGTAGTAGTTATGTTAATCGGAGTGTCCCTTAAGACTGAGGAAATTATCTCTGGTATTCACTATACTACAGAAATTGTACCGCAATGAAAATGATTAAAACAAATCACCTACAAAAAATTAGGTTCTCACTCGAGACCCTGGTGTAAAAATTACACTTTTTACAGCTGTAAAACATCATACATTTACTATTTCAGTCCAATTACCAAACTTTCCTTAATATGTAAGGGAGATGGAACGGCAGTTGGACTGAAATATAGAATCTATATAAATGACCTCTGCTTAAAATAAATCCACTGTTTCTTTATTTAAAATCCCTATGAGTGCTTACTTTCACGTTGGCATAATAGTTTTTACTTTTAAGTGATCTTTTCCACCTCTATATTTGCAAACTATGTTGGCGCAACACATTATTGGGCTGGTATAGAATTTTTTTCCAGGGCTGCTTTTTGTTCCCAGTCTAGCCCTTAACTTATGTTAAAATTTTTCATAGACATTAGGCACATTATGTCATTTTTGTTTGTGTTTTTCTGCTATCTCACCAAAAGGTAGTGATTTTAGTGATTGCGGTCCCAGGTAATCTATTGACAACTAGTGCTTATCCTTTCTGTATTTGTTTAATTATTATATAGGTGGTAGTTTATGTGCACTAAAAAGGTAAATGTATGAATTTCGCGATATACAGATTTAAAAAAAAATTAAATCCTAATTAGAATCTGAATGTAAAGTTAGAATGTAAAAACTGAAATGATTATTATAGATTTAAAACAGCAAATGACAGGATCATCATTTCACCCTAGATTCCTTACACCAATGGCTTTTAATTACAATAATAAAAAAAAAAACCTGGCAGCCATAATAGAGTTTACAAATGAAGTAGCCAGAAATACAGTAAATGCACTCTAGCAGATTGGAAAGTGAAATGACTTCTGATGAAGTGGAAATGTTTCTGCTGGACGTATTACTTTAATTACTCATGAAATTAGAGTTATCTTTAAAGGTGCTAATTCTGGTCTTGAAATCTCATGTCAGCTATTAATATACTTTCCAGACTTTTTTGTTTCAGTAGGTTTAATACAGTATGTCCATTTTTTATAACTTTCATTGAACTTACTGCAACTGAACATTTGTTAGGCCAGTACACATAGAGAGCAAATATTTCCATTTAGCTAACTCTTTGAATGTATAACAATATATATTAACCAAAAGCAAAGGTCTCTGAAAATAATGAGCATATAAAAGATTAATAATATCTTTTTTTTTTACAATCTTTAATTTAACATTTTGAAAATACACAAAGAAAAATAAAGAGAGAGAATAAAGAGATACAATTTACAATATTGACCTGTTTTATAAGAGAGTACCTACTACTGAAGTTTCTAAACAAACGTGATCAAGAACATTTAAATAATGTGCCATTAAAATAATTGTAATTATTAAATAATAATAAGTACGTAAATAAATTAATTAGGAGAATTAAGGAGAATTGTCTTTGAGAAAAAGTACATTTAAAAAAAATGGTGGGAGTGGGGGTAAAGTGGAAATGGTATGAAGGGAAAAGAAGACAGTACCAAGACTTCTATGGTGGTCAGAAAACAATTAAAAAGTGTGAAACTTAAAATGAGGAAGTATGGGAAAGAAATTCAACCCAAATGCACCATATTTGACTAATGGGCAGATCCACCCATCAGAGAAGCTGTAAGAAACTCAAAAGAATGCATTCTTCAAATTTGGTTATCCATTGCTGTAGGGTGGGAATAACAGAATTCTCATAGACAGAGGAGGAATTAATAATTTTGCTGTGTTTGAAACATGCTGAGTTAAAGGGGCACTATAGTCACCAGAACAACTATGGCTTATAATATTTGTTCTAGTGAGTAGAATCGTGCCCTTCAGGCTTTTTGCAGTAAATACTGTCTTGTCAGAGAAAGGCAGTGTTTACATACCTCCACTGACCATTCCTCATATGGCCACTACAGCTGCTTCCTGCCGCTCAGTGGCTACTTAAAAAGAATGGACACACCCTATTTTAAATACATTTGGTTGTCTACTTTTTCAAATGTTCTGCCATGATAGGGGTAATTCTTATTCCTGCTACCATACGGTCTCAAAGACAACAAAGCTAATCTGGCAAATTTCAACGTGCAAAAATAGAAATAGGTAAGTCTTATATTTGACCCTGTAACTTTCCAAAATTCCACCTAATCTCGAGCAGCACTCAGACATGTATGTACAATACTGCCCTTATAATAAGTCTTCATTTTAAATTTACACTGCACCCATAAACATTAAACATTGCACTTCACGACAACTAATCATTAACACTAAACTAAGCATTAACCCCATTCACTACACCCTTACACTACACTAAATATCAATCCCTTCTCTTTGCATTAATCTCTACACTGCTGTAACACTTGCAAAAATACTATCCTTAACCTACAAACATAATGACATTTAAAATATACATAACAAGGATGCATGTAATTTAGAAACATAATGCCATCTTGCATTCTGGAGAAATTTTTATGCTACTTCACCTGTGTTGTTGTGGTTTAGCTCCTCAGAACAGTAATGGCCCTATATATCTTCAACTTAAGTTATCTTAAGTTAACTTCATTTTATTCACTTACATATTAATAAAAATGCAGCATATGCAGTTAAAATGTGTCACCATTAGAGATGTCGCGAACCGTCCGCGAACGGTTTGCCGCGGTTCACCACGAACCATTCGTGGCGAACTCCGGTCAGCTGACACATCCCTGCCAATCTCCGGCAGACCCTCCCTCCCAGACCCTCCCACCTCCTGGACAGCATCCATGTTGAAGCTGCCCTCAACATGGATGCTGTCCAGGAAGTAGGAGGGTCTGGGAGGGAGGGTCTGCTGGAGATTGGCCGGGATGTGTCAGCTGACCGGAGTTAGCCGCAAACCGCGGCGAACCGTTCGCGGGAAGTTCGCGGATGGTTCGCGACATCTCTAGTCACCATAAGCTGTCCAACGCGTTTCGTCATGTCACTTTATCAAGGGTTAGTCATAAAATTTGACTATAAATTCAGCAAACAATACAACCCCTTCCCACCAAACCACCCTTTTAAATCATTAATAAATCCATCAATCCATTGGTCCTCCGAACAGCCAGTTGATTTCCATTCGTGTCTGCGTCCATATTCCTACAATTATGAGACCTGCGCAATATTGTCATTGCGCTATGTGAGCAATAATGTATATTGCGTCTCCATATTTCCTACGCAGAAGTCTGTACTTTACATTTCAGCATTCATACCACCAATGTGAGCGCCCAATTCATCCCGAATATATTAAAAGTGTTGCGATTTGTTTCTCATACATTTAACTAATTTCTAGTCTTTTCAAGCTCTTTTCAAGTTCCCAAAAAGGAGATAACTAACACGGAGGAGCATCATAATCACACAACATAATTTCTCATATACATGATTAAAACAACAAGAGTGATTAGTAGGGAACATTAATGTAGAGACTTCGGTTGAAAAATAAAACACAACCAAAAATAACAAAAAAAAATGATTATTCCTATATTAATGAAAAATTGAAAATAAAATACATATAGAATAAAAAATATATAAAAGATTAAAAGTATTAATAAAAATAAAAACTAACATGCTCATTATTTCTGTCATTTATTAGAACTGATATTTTAATGTTGATTTATATTTTTGAAAATTCAGAAGCATTACAGTTTAATATCTCTGAATTACAGCGGATGATGTAAGTCTAGAAAAGCTATGCATGCATATTATCTGCAAACAATATGAATATTCACCGGTAGTCAACAAATTTCAGCTGTTAGGTGCTCAAATGCGTGATTTATTCCTACACACATGAAATATGAGTACTTAGTCATGTGTATCATTTCATAGTAATCATCATACACCTTTTCAACATGAAGCACAATATGAAAAATGATACATACAGATGTAGCATATGTTTTGCACATGTTGACAAGCTACTTAAAAAACATGAACTTTATCTTTTGAGGTGTCAATAGGACTATCTATAAGGAATATAGATCTTTGAGACGGTAGTTTAAGAAGGCTTTTAGATGTATAAAGTTTTACAACTTGAATAGCCTCAGTCAGGTTGTGTGGCTAGGGCTGTGTAAACAAAGTGATTTAACTCCTAAATGGCAGAGGATTGAACAGGTAGACTGCAAGGCATGATCTATACACCAAAACCACTTAAATAAGATAAAAATTGTGTGGGTGCTTATAGTGTGCCTTTACTTCATATTATTACAATACCCTTTGCTCCAGGACCTATGAAGTAATGTAAAGAAGTAGAGGTGTGGAGGGCAATGAAACTTTATTTGGCTGAACAGATCAGACACCTCGTCATTTGGAGGTGTTCTGGCAATCGGACATACCAGAGAGGGAAAAACAGCCATCTAAAGTGCAGGCTGGAGGAAGGTAGTACAAGTAAGATTAGATGCTGCTTGACAGAGGGGGAGTTAGAAATTAATGTATTCTACCCAGCTAGTAGCTTTTAACTAAAGAGTAAAGGAAACAATGCAGAACAGCAGCAAATCTAAGATGGCTGAAAAAAAGTAACTTTCTATATTAAGCTTTCTGACATCTGCCCTTTCTTTTATAGTGAGACCAAAGAAAAAAAATATTGCAGCCCACATAGTATATTTAAAGGGACACTCCAATGCCCAAATAAAAAAACCCCCCACTAATTATTAGATTTACCAAAAATTAAAACATGCATGCATTTAATTGTGCATTTTTTTGTTTCTGTATATCTAAAAACAATTTCATCTGAGTCCTTTTAAAGTCATCCCCTTCTTCCCCAGCAGAGACTTTCTGTGGCTGTACAATCACAGACTTCTCAATGCAGCTCAATGAGAGGTCTTTGCAAAGCAGGAAGTAACAGGGCCAATGCTTCATTGACAGTCTACAGAGGTATAACAAGATTAAAGGGACACTAAAGTGATCCAGACCAGTTCATCTCAATTAAGTGCTCTAGGTGGAGTGGCCCTGTCATTTTAACCCTGCATTTTAAGAAAAAAAAAACTAATATGTTTTACACTGAATAGCATTGGATTGGACCATCATGGAGGAGGCTTTGTCTCCTCCATGATGTCGCAGGAGGTTGACAGGTAAGCAATGCACAGGGATGCTCAAATCCTTGATAAAGGTAAGTAAAATTTAGGATTATATAATAGAGCTCAAAAGGTACATGCTACTATGCATTGTGTTAAAGAGAGATGGGAACATGAAGTTGGTTGGAGGACGGGATAGTAGAGGGTCAGTTTTTCTCATGATTCATCACATGCAGTGTGAGCCACCTGATCATTTAATCCTTATCCACCCCTGAGGAGCCCATCAATAGGCTCCCATCCCATCTTGCATATATGACCTGTATAGTGGATGATGATAATAATAAATTGTTCAAATGAGTACACAAGTCCAGTAGATCAGCATCCGACAAGGGTATGCCGAGCCAAAAGGTCCTAAAAATGTGTTTCCCATTAGCTAATGTCCAGTCACCTGTTTTTAATAGCTGTCTCTCTGGTCCATTCCATATGGCCCTACTTAAAGAAAATTAAAAAATAAAAATCAGACCCTAATTAACTTAAAGAGGACTAGGGGATGCTCAATGATAAATATTTAAAAATATATTATCCCACAGTGGCTGGGTAGGGAGGGCATAGAGCAGGGATTGCCAAATGGTAGATCTCAAATGCAGGGTTGTCTGTGTGTGAATGCAGGTTTTTTATGAGTACGTGTGTGAATGTTTGTGTATTGATGTACAGGTAATGTTAAAATGCAGATCAGTATTTATGAGTAGCGTTGGCGTTTGGATGCAGGGGTGTGCTTTCTGCTGTGTTAGCAATCAGATGCAGGGATGTGTTTGTGTGTAGTGTTAATGCTTGAATGTAGATGTGCATATGTGTGTAGTGTTGCATGGTTCAGTTTGTGTGTTATGTTGGTGTTTACAAAATTAAGCCCTAAGCTCAAATTCTCACTACTCCTGGGCGGCAGCAATAAGTATAGTACACATCAGCCATGTCAAGGCAAACATCTGGAGTCCCACACTAACAATTCACCTTGCTATAAGGTAAAATCTTTAATGATACAATGACTATTTTTCTATTTTTGTACCTGCTTTTGTATTAAAATGCCATGTGACAGTACTGCCACTCACCTTATGTGTAACCTATTGAGGTTTATTAAATGTGTAGTGGGGTTAGAAAAATACACCTCTTATAAAAAAGGGAAATATCCAGGTCTCTCTAATGAGGTAGTTCTTTACAGGGACACGCCAAGCATTTGGCAGCATAATCACTACAATGAACTTCTGTAACTATGAAAAAAAAATTGTAATCAATTTTATTACAAATTATATAACTTCACCATCTGTTGTCTAGAATTAATGATGCGACTCAAAGTTACAACACCTTAGTTATAAAAGCATGTTGCATTATAAAAGGGTTTTACTATAACACATATTGTTGACACAAAGCTTACAGAAATGGATACATGTGTTTGAACACAAATTGTTCACAAATTGTTCTTGGCTCACATAAAACTGTTACCTGTCATTGACTGTCCTAGCTGGACTTCTGGATATCACTCCACAATCAAGGACTGAATTATAAGATTAAAGACATACTCTTTTGACATATAATTCTCTAGTATTAAGCAGCAACATAATTTCCCCAGACCAGGTTACAAAACAAAATAACATTTGCCATAAAATGTGCCTTTATTTGGATTATTTCTGCTTTTAATTTTCATTTGTATGTAAAAAAAGAAAACAGAAAAAAAAGAAAAATGAAAACTGGAATAGAAAATAAACCTGCAATTCAAAGAAACAATTATTAGATTTGGGTGTACTTTCGATCCAAGTCATTTGTTTTTATTTATTTCAATGGACTTGCACAATAATTGTCTGTGTGCAAGTTATGCTTTAGTAAGTTAATTAAATACACATTATTCTTATTAAATTCCTCATATAATCTAGTTTTTATTTTTTTAATAAATATTTACACATTTTTCACTGTCACTTCATATTTTTCAGAAGTTGTATTACTAATAATTTATTATGATTCCCTTATTCTCTAGGTCCATGGTTACCTGGTTATTCTTCAAGCAGACACACAAACAGTGGACATTTAGTGGTTGTTGTTAAGTATTTGATATTTTCTGGAAGGAAATTTAAATAAATGTTGGAGCTCTGAATGTTATGGCTGCTCTATGTATTTCCTTCTTTTTAAGTTGAACAGAAGATGCATCAAACTAGAAAAATGTATGGCTGGATTTGAGCCTTACCCATGTATACATTTTTTACTGAATGTAAATAAAGAGTGCAAAAAGTATTGGCAAAACAACTTTAAAAAGTAACAGTAAATTTTCAGATTTGAGTTCGACATACGTTTTACTTAGTTAAATCTATAAATGCTTTCTTCATTTCTCTTTCTGGTTGAGGAATGTATCGGTTGAAAATGGACGATTTCTAAAGTCCCAGATTTTTGATAATGTGTTCTGGGACGTTCTGACTAGAAGCGGCATTTGCCGCACCTATACGGAAAGAATGACTGCTGAATGCTGATGGGTCATACCCTATTTTGGAAAACAGAGTCCGTATGTATAAATCATAAATTTGGATTTTGTCAGTGGGTTGCCATATAGATTTAGTAGAGGGGTGTTCTTATCTTGTATTTTTATACGTGGGTATAGACTGTCAAACAGTTGTACTGGGCACCATTTGTTACCTTTGGGGTATATCAGTTGTTCGTCGAGATGTCCCATTAATTAGTTTTGGAGTGTCAAAACATAGTGGTCCCCTATTTTGTTGAGGTCTGCCATTGTCAGCATGTTGGTGGTATGAGTGGTTTGTATTATGGTGAACTTGTTTGGTCTTAAGAATC